CCGGTAGGCTTAGAACTCCTTCGATTGACTGTTGCCACGGTCTAATCGCAGTGTGATTCCTTCCCGAGTTTCGGAGAAGGAACTCGGCAGTCATACTATAGAATTGATCCTATGAAGTACACATCAGCCCGGTATAGCTCTGGGGAGCCTCCGGGTCTCACCCAAAAATGGCGTTTCATTACATTTGACGCTGGTTTTTTTAACTTTTACTTTTTTTATTTTTTCATTTTTTTTATAGCAAAAGGTTCGGTCAGTGCTTGTCAGGTAGGTTGCTCCATGTTTCTTTAAAAAAAAAATAATAATAAATTTGAAAAAAGGAAAATGTCATAAAAGTTCATTCAGTGTATGTCAGGCAGGATGCTCCATTATGACAATCTTTCTTTGTTTCAAATGTGTTCAATTTGCTTTGTATTTTGTATTTATTTATTAATAATGGAGCAGCCTACCTGACAAACACTGAACAGACCTTTTTAACATGTGTTTTTTTTTAATTTTTTTTTAATTTTTTTTATTCTACAAAAAAACTCAATACCTTGCAACATCACAGCAGTTACCCCTTTACATCCTAGCATCATTGGCATCTTTAAACAAAAAAAAATTATTTATTTGCATCGTTGGAGGCGTCCGAGAATGTGCAAGAAGCAGCGGGAACGCACTATGTGGATTCTTGTTAATCAAACGAGCGCTCACCAATCAAAACAAATTGTCGGCGATCGCCGCGCTCATTATTCAAAATGCTCGTAATTTGAGACGCTCGTCACTCGAGCTTCCACTGTACTTAAGATTTGGATGAATTAGGTATAAAATTTACTTTGAAGTTAACACTATCGGTAACTTTGGACCGGACTCGCGTCCATTATTTTTCTCCCGAGTCCTAACTTTGGACCGAACTTGTGTCCACTACAAAAAATATTTGTATAAAATTCATTTTTTATCCAATCGACCTCGGGATAGTATCAAAATATACGCCTTTAGATTGCGCACAATTTGATACCAAAATGAAAGATGTATCATGAAACTTGATGTCCAAACACTTGAAAGATTATAAATAGGCTTTTGGTCAAAATATTAAAATATTTGTTAAAATTCTATTTATTGTCCTATTATCTTGGGACTAGTTTTAAAATGGGCGCCTTTACGTCGCGAACAATTTGATACCAAAATGAAAGATGTAACACAAAAATTTATGTCAGAACACAGAAAAGATAGAAATAATTTTGTGATGATGAGCGTCCAGAATTAAAATATTTTGTTAAAATTCCAGTTATTGCTCTATTATTATGGGACTAGTTTTAAAATACGCGCCTTTTTGTTGCGAACAATTTGATACCAAAATGAAAGACGTAACACGAAATTTGATGTTATCAAATTGAACGAGTATACACATTAAGTTGCAGTGTACAAATTGGTGCTCGTTCACGGGTAACTTTAGGTTTTTCTGCGGGGAGGCACTCCAGGCTTTTGTACATTATATTCATACACATCTGTAGGGAATTTAATTGCGAACACAATGATATCAAAACGAGCGACGTAGCACGAAAATTAAGGTGAGAAAAATGGAACGAGTATGCACATGTTACTGATTTTGTGCGTTCACGGGTAACTTTTGCCGACTTTAGGCTTTGCTGTTGGGAGTCATGCCAGGCTTTTAGACATTATATTTATACAGACATGTAGGGAATTTAATTGCGAACACAATCATACCAAAACGAGCGACATAGCACGAGAATTAACCCTCAAACCGCTCGGGGTCCAAATGGAATTAACACCCACACGCGCAACAAAAAAAAAATTCCCAAATTTTTTTTTTCTTTTTAATCTCTTTATTTGTGTTCCCTGAGCTCGGGAAAAATAATAAAAAAATTTAATTACACTTACCGTGGATGTAAATGACCCGAGAAGATCATCGATGACGTCACGCCTGATCTTCGCTGGACCGCTGTGCGCCCGGGGTGAGTCAGGCGCGACGGAGGAGGAGCGCGAGTTGCCGCGAATTTATTTTCGCGTTATTATTTACAGTATCTATGGCGTATTTTACACCCATTTTTTTCACTGGTGTGGTTCAATATGTTCTCACAAGATGATTTATAAACATAAAACTGTTGTCAATGTATATTGTATCCACATATTAGTGTCAAGTATTTGCACAAAAATGTCTTATTTCACAATAAAATATACTATTTCTTATGATTTATTTCCACTATATACACTCACTTATTCTGTATTTACATGTTTTGGCACCAGTCTGGGACATTTAGAAGTCATCAAGACTGTGATACTCGTTGAAATATCGGACATGGCACAGAGGGACCTGACACGCTGTGCACCAAGTCATCACCATTTTTCTTTTCTGTTCCCTTTTGGTTGTTGACCAGCATACTACACACGCACACTAGCCTACTGCACGCTTTCCAGTTGGTGGTAAAAACCTGAGATTGTGTGTCAAAAAGGCATCCCTGAAAGCGAGCCTGGGTGTTGGAGCATGGTGCAATACCGGGTTCAGAATGGGCCTCTGTACACCAGGAATTACTTTGCCAAACTTCTGTAGTAATTGTGTTACTACAGTAAAATTGAATGCACGGAAATTACGTTTACCACCTGTTTTGACAAGATACATATTGTAACTGTTCAGCATTGTTACATCAACAAGGTGGAAAAACATTTTCTTGGTCCACTGCACTGTTTTCCGTACACACTCCACTCCACACTCCACATGATGGTGGGGGCCACCATCATATCACATTTATCCACCAAACGCATGTTGATGTTATAGTCCAAGACACAATCTGGCTTATAGATTATTTCTCTGGTGGTTCTGTTCACCTTGCCACTGTCCAGCATTGTTCCAGCATGAATGGTGGTCAACATGTTCACTTCACGCCTGTCTTTCCACCGCACTGAAAGTATTCCACCTGTTTTTCTGAGCTCGCAATCATCAACCTGCATTGCACCTGGAAACACTGGCATTTCCCTTCGTTTTGCCTTCACTGTGCCACACACACCAGTTCTATTATCAAGCAAGAACCTAGTTAGCAAGGGACTGGTATAATAGTTATCTGTGTATAAAATGTGGCCCTTGTTCAGATATGGTGCAAGCAGTGACTTCACAACACTACCTGAGAAGCCATGTTGGTCATTAGCAGGAATGTCTACATTTGTACCCGTATACATTATCATATGTAACACAATTCCTGTTTCACAGTCACAGAGTACAAAGAATTTCAATCCAAATCGGTGGCGTTTAGAGGGAATATACTGCTTGAAGGCAAGACGTCCTTTGAAAAGCACAAGGGATTCGTCAATCACAAGCTTCTGAGCTGGTACGTAGAAATCCCTGTACTTTCCGATAAGTTTATTCAGTACGTGCCTTACCTTCCAAAGCCTATGTTCATCATTCCTGTCTTCATCATTTGCAAAGTGAAGACACCTGAGGATTATCGCAAATCGGTCTCGAGACATATATTTGCCAAACATTGGTGTTGGAACAGTATGGTCTTTGCTCCAATAATGATCGATTACGTGTTTGACACAATGTTTCATCAACATACACAGTGCCAAAAACACATACATTTCACCTACAGTCGTATCTTTCCATCGCTGCAAACGTGAAAAATCGGATAACTCCTCCTCATCAATGAGATCACTCGCATATTTGTTCGTCTCATGAACAAGATGTTCCATTAGCGGCTCATCAAAATATGCAGTAAAATAGTCCATTTCACACATATCTGCACCTTTATCAGGGAAAATATCTGTAATTCCAACATCCAAATTATCAAAAACAGGAATTTGTGGAACAAAATCTGTCCCATCACTCCACACAAAAACACTGGGTGTCTTTCTAGAGCCAATAGCGGCACCACAGCGAGGAAACCGTGTACCAGGAGCTGAAGCAGGTCTAGGAACAGTAGGGGAGGGCAGGGATGGTGATGGAAAATTCCTCGATATTGAGAGTCTTTGTTCATGTGGTGCCATGCGGTGCCACATGGCTTGGCCAGATGCTGCTGACGCGACAAATTGTCGCTTGGCAACACCACACACTCCTCCACTGGCACTAGCAAAACTATTTTCCGATTCTAAGTCACTAAAACCGGAAAATGATTCACCTTCTTCAGAATCGTCGAGCAAAACATCAATATCCCTCAAGGGAGCACATGAACTGTGTGGTCTTGCAGAAATTGGGGTGGAGTGAGGGCGAGGAGGCATGGGCGAGATGCTAGGCCTAGCCCTGGTGGAGCCAGCATGTTCACACTCGTCGTCGGTCGTATCCACCTCTGAGGGCTGTGTATAGTCATGATCAAAGTCTGAGTCGTCTATATCAGACTCGTCACCATCCGGGAACAAATTACGAGTAATTTCGTCCTCGGTCAGAGGTCGCGAGGAACATCTCGCTGAGCGGGGTCGGTCGTCGGAACGTGATGCGCTCGCCATGGTGTCCACCGGGTAACTGAGCTCTGTACACAAAGGGGACCCACGCTGGATTTTTTTCCCAGGCGGGGTTTGTTTATGTTCGGTCTAGGCTCGCCGATGACTACCCCTATCCCAGGCGGGGCGTTTAAATTATAGTGCTAGACACGAAATCATATATAAATGATGTGCGCGGTTTCGGTTTTGTCACTGATATCATATATATATATGATATGCGCGGTTTGAGGGTTAAGGTGAGAAAGCTGAAACGAGTATACACATTTAGGTGTCACCTCGCGCTTACCCGCACGCTCGGTGCATGACCCCTAAGTTGACCGCGCGCCTGCCCGGTGCGCGATAGTGTTAATATTTTTGGGAGTGTGGAAAGTATTAATTAAATTTATATTATTTCTTATGCTAAAATTCGCTTCGGCTCACGAATTTTCGGGTTACGAACCGTCTCTGGGAACGGATTAAATTCATAAGCTGAGGTACCACTGTACTGTAATATCAGCTGTGTATGCCAGACTTGTGTTGAAGGTCTTTTAATATGATAATTAATATTAATTTCATAGCCAATTTACTCCTTTCAGGTTCCTTACCTGCACTGTGGGGTATTGCAAAGACTGAAGGCATGAAAGGCCTATGGCGAGGGGCGACCACTTCAATACCCCGAGTTGGCATTGGTTCTGCATCACAATTGTTTACCTATTCCAAAAGTAAAGACTGGTTGGACCAATATGGGGTATGTTTTGAAATCACTAGCTGTTATTTTGTAATTTTTGTAAGGAATTCACACAAATTTATAATGCACATTACAATCCTGATTTTGCGTAATTATTTAAGGGTAGTTATAGGATGAAAGCTGTGCTCATGGTGTCCATAATTCCCAGAATACTAATTCCCAATATTTTCTGGGCTGAACCGTGTCGGCTCCCTGAAGCTATCTGAACTGATATAGTGCTATATTAGTTGGGTGTCATCAGTCACAAAGTCCTTTTGCGTACTGGGAACCACAAGTCAGAACCTGGCCCCCTCAGAGAGGCACAGGGAGCAATGGCCTATGGACACTTTACATGTAAAGTACATCATACCTTCCATCGACCAGGGAAGGCACCCATATAGGTAGGTGAATCAAAACGTCCACTGTCTGGTAATACTTATACTGTCTCCACTCGATTATCCAGACTATATGGGAAGGATCCCCTGCCGGATAATCATATTTTCTGGATAAGAGTACTTTTTCACCTCTTGAGTCCAAAAGGGACCATTTCCAAATTTTGTTATACCACACATGATTTGAATTGACAAATTCAATGTCAATGGTGGGGGGATGGTGTCAGTGGTGTGGGATGCTGTCAATGGTGGGGGATGGTGTCAGTGGTGGGGGATGGTGTCAGTGGTGTGGGATGCTGTCAATGGTGGGGGATGGTGTCAGTGGTGGGGGATGGTGTCAGTGGTGGGGGATGGTGTCAGTGGTGGGGGATGGTGTCAGTGGTGGGGGATGGTGTCAGTGGTGGGGGATGGTGTCAATGGTAGGGGATTGTCGGAAAATCCGACACCATTTAATAATCATACAGACAGATAATAATTGCTGCTGTATTACCAACAAGTTACCCATAGAAAACGTAACTTGTAGTGGAATTACCGTCTAAAGAAAACAGGATATCATCACCACATACTATTATAAATTCACCAGCTATTCTGCTGGGAATTATTCTTAAATACATTAGTCTTTGGACTTTACCATCATAAAAACATCTCATATAAATTAACTTAATTATCAATATTAAAGTAGAGTAAATGTGACCCTTCTATCACTTTCTGTCATCTGGACAATGTAAGCCAGGCGTCAGTGGTGAGGGAGGGGCAGCCATTGTTTATACTAGACCAGAGGCTCACGGGAGCAAATTCGGCTCCTGTTAATTTTACTTGGACGAAGTGTTATGGAAACCAAAGGTGTACCATTATCACACGCTGTCAATAAATTCAAGTTAAGTGTTCTACCGAAACCCATTTATCTATCATTAGTGGCCATTAATGTCATTGGGTAGGGTGATCCCGTTAGATCACGAGATCGCCTCATACTAAAGGTAATTAAGCCAGGTCTTCATTGTTCCATGTACAGTGTTTTCTCTGATATACCTGTCATATATAGGATTCTGGCTTTACAGCTAGCGCCCTTTTGACAGGTCAAGACGAGGAAGCATGCTTTGTGCATCAGTTACCAGGGTGATGGAAGCTACCTCAAAGAGGGAAAATGTGGTGTCTACAACCTAGTTATACCTGGTGGACTAAGACCTGCTGTACTATAAGATAAGGAACCTCTTCAATGTATGTAGTCTAATACTGTAGTTTGATTGGCTGCATATATATAAATTAAATTAATATAAACCCCCCCTAATGTGTAGAGGATCGATTTGTGAGATTATGAGATTATTGTAGAAATACAGTCCACTTATCATTTTACAAATTGCTATCGAAGTATATAAATTAACGTAAATATAAATTCATATAAATTAAATAAATATAAATCTCACAGGTCGGTTCCCACAGGGATGGTGTCAGTGGTGGGGAATGGTGTGACTGGTGGGAGATGGTGTCAGTGGTGGGGGATGGTGTCAGTGGTGGGGGATGGTGTCAATGGTGGGGGATGGTGTCAATGGTGGGGGATGGTGTCAATGGTGGGGGATGGTGTCAGTAGTGGGGGATGGTGTCAGTGGTGGGGGATAGTGTCAGTGGTGGGGGGATGGTGTCAATGGTGGGAGATGGTGTCAATGGTGGGAGATGGTGTCAGTGGTGGGGGATGGTGTCAGGGGTGGAGGATGGTGTCAGTGGTGGGGGGATGGTGTCAATGGTTGGGGATGGTGTCAGTAGTGGGAGATGGTGTCAGTGGTGGGGGATGGTGTCAATGGTGGGGGATAGTATCAATGGTGGGGGATGGTGTCAATGGTGGGGGATGGTGTCAATGGTGGGGGATGGTGTCAATGGTGGGGGATGGTGTCAGTGGTGGGGGATGGTGTCAGTGGTGGGGGATGGTGTCAGTGGTGGGGGATGGTGTCAGTAGTGGGGGATGGTGTCAGTGGTGGGGGATGGTGTCAGTGGTGGGGGATGGTGTCAATGGTTGGGGATGGTGTCAGTAGTGGGAGATGGTGTCAGTGGTGGGGGATGGTGTCAGGGGTGGGGGATGGTGTCAGTGGTGGGGGATGGTGTCAATGGTGGGAGATGGTGTCAGTGGTGGGGGATGGTGTCAGGGGTGGGGGATGGTGTCAGTGGTGGGGGGATGGTGTCAATGGTTGGGGATGGTGTCAGTAGTGGGAGATGGTGTCAGTAGTGGGAGATGGTGTCAGTGGTGGGGGATGGTGTCAGGGGTGGGGGATGGTGTCAGTAGTGGGAGATGGTGTCAATGGTGGGGGATGGTGTCAATGGTGGGGGATTGTGTCAATGGTTGGGGATGGTGTCAGTAGTGGGAGATGGTGTCAATGGTGGGGGATGGTGTCAATGGTGGGGGATGGTGTCAATGGTGGGGGATGGTGTCAGTAGTGGGAGATGGTGTCAGGGGTGGGGGATGGTGTCAGTGGTGGGGGGATGGTGTCAATGGTTGGGGATGGTGTCAGTAGTGGGAGATGGTGTCAGTGGTGGGGGATGGTGTCAGTGGTGGGGGATGGTGTCAGTGGTGGAGGATGGTGTCAGGGGTGGGGGATGGTGTCAGGGGTGGGGGATGGTGTCAGGGGTGGGGGATGGTGTCAGTGGTGGGGGATGGTGTCAGGGGTGGGGGATGGTGTCAGTGGTGGGGGATGGTGTCAGGGGTGGGGGATGGTGTCAGTGGTGGGGGATGGTGTCAGTGGTGGGGGATGGTGTCAGGGCGTGGGAGATGGTGTCAGGGGTGGGGGATGGTGTCAGGGGTGGGAGATGGTGTCAGTGGTGGGGGATGGTGTCAGGGGTGGGAGATGGTGTCAGTGGTGGGGGATGGTGTCAGGGGTGGGGGATGGTGTCAGTGGTGGGGGATGGTGTCAGTGGTTGGGGATGGTGTCAGTAGTGGGGGATGGTGTCAGTGGTGGGGTATGGTGTCAGTGGTGGGGGATGGTGTCAGTGGTGGAGGATGGTGTCAGGGGTGGGGGATGGTGTCAGGGGTGGGGGATGGTGTCAGTGGTGGGGGATGGTGTCAGGGGTGGGGGATGGTGTCAGTGGTGGGTGATGGTGTCAGGGGTGGGGGATGGTGTCAGGGCGTGGGTGATGGTGTCAGGGCGTGGGAGATGGTGTCAGGGCGTGGGTGATGGTGTCAGGGCGTGGGTGATGGTGTCAGGGCGTGGGTGATGGTGTCAGGGGTGGGGGATGGTGTCAGGGGTGGGAGATGGTGTCAGTGGTGGGGGATGGTGTCAGTGGTGGGGGATGGTGTCTGGGGTGGGGGATGGTGTCAGTGGTGGGGGATGGTGTCAATGGTTGGGGATTGTGTCAGTAGTGGGAGATGGTGTCAGTGGTGGGGGATGGTGTCAGTGGTGGGGGATGGTGTCAGGGGTGGGGGATGGTGTCAGGGGTGGGGGATGGTGTCAGTGGTGGGGGATGGTGTCAGTGGTGGGGGATGGTGTCAGTGGTGGGGGATGGTGTCAGTGGTGGGGGATGGTGTCAGTGGTGGGGGATGGTGTCAGTGGTGGGGGATGGTGTCAGTAGTGGGAGATGGTGTCAATGGTGGGGGGGATGGTGTCAGTGGTGGAGGATGGTGTCAAAAGAAGTCTGGTAGTAGGTTGATGGAGTCAGAGAAGTGACTGATGATGAAGAGCTGGCAGATTATTATCGGCACCTAAAGGGCATGAAAGATATTATAATGAAGCAGCACACAACGAAGAAACAAACTACAATTCAAAAGTTTTTGGTACGGTTTCACAATAGGCCAACAGGACCAGCACCCAGCATTAGCAAGAACTCCCTTCGAGAGTCTGAGCAATTTTTCCTAATGCAAATGTGTCCTGGCATATGTATTAAAAAAACAAAAACAAAAAATTGAAGAAGGTTGTTGGGGCCGGACGGATGGAACGAATCAGCTTCGTGCCATATAGTTTGTTCAATTGAGGACACACTGTATTTGCGTGCCACGACTTCTGTGTCTGGGATGCGCTTTGGGTTGATCCAGGTTTCCTTTCCTCCCTGTTCCAGGATTTGGATCTCCCACATTGTCCGCAGGGTTATTCGGTCTGGCCAGCCTGCGGTCTATCCTCGTGCCCAAGACGTTCATAAGTTTGCTGATCTTGCTGCCGTTGTCGGTAATATGTCTTGGGCTGACATTCGGGAGCAGGATTTTCGGCGGTCGAACAGGGCCCTGACTGCGCGCTACCTGGTCAATGTTCTGGGGCCTAGTAGGACCTGTGTCTCTTTGGGTCGGCGGTTGCAGCCAGTTGTCTCGACTTCTCGTTGAGGGGCGAGTGCCGACCGTCTCCCGGGTAAGTCCCTTTTGTTTTCATCTTTAGGTAATTAGCTCCGGAGAGCCGAAGGGGTCCCCCTCCCCCCCCCCCCAGAAAACCAGGGTTGAATGTAATGAAACACTATTTTCCGGGTGAGACCCGGAGGCTCCCCGGCATTCCTCCCTCCCTCCGATCGGTGTTTTTTCATTTGTTTTTTAAATCCAGCAACAGAACTGGGGTGTGGGTAGGTGGTATGAGGGGTCTGGGGCTCACTCTACCCCCTCCCAGGGAGAGGGGAGCTGCACAGACAGTTGGCGCAACACGTGGTGATGTCATGCTTGTTTGC